CCCCAAAACCCCAAAACCCCAAAACCCCAAAACCCCAAAACCCCAAAACCCCGACATGATTTGGGATTATTGAATTGATTCAACTAAAAATACCAAAAATCTTTGAAGGTATCCAAAATGGTCGTAGAAAGTTGGAAATATCTGTTATTTCCTTTTTCATTATCCTAATCTTATACAGCTGCTATGACTGCTGATTACCTTACTATTTATGGCGTGTCTTAGTGATCAGCCAACTAATTGGCTTAGTCATAAAGTATTTCATGACCGCCAACATCTTCTGATCTATTGGTTTCAGTATCCATTTTAATCTGTATATCATTACTTTCTCTTGTCTTTTCTTCGTCTTTAACTTCTTCCATCTTCACAACTCTTGCTTTAAGTGTTGGTAAGTGGCCGAACACAAGATAAATTATGGCAAAGGCAAATGAAACCAGGCCAAATATTTCTCAAGTACGCACGAAATTAAGATGCTGTGTGAGGAATCCTCCAATTATAACTGCCCAAGTGCAGCTGAACCATAAGACGCGTTCATTATACTGGCAACGGTATTGTTCAAGTCTTCAACCCTGTCAGTGTAATCGCTGATGACAGATTCGATAAGTTCAGGAAAGATTGGTACGAATGAGAGTGAGCAGCCTATTCCAAGAAGGACTAATCCCAGTCAGACTACGTGAAGGCTTGGCTCTATCATAATTATTGCTGAAGGACCTGTGAATAAGAACCCTATCGCAAATACGATAAAGCCAAGGATTAGTCATAGCCTTTTAGACATATGCTTTAGTATGAGGGTGTCCACTAGAATGCTTATCCCAGAGTAAACAAAGGGTTGGATTCAGAAGTATTCACCCAGATTTTTCTCTTTCACTCCCATCTCTAGTAGCCTGTTGGTCAACAATGGCTCAAGGAGAGTATAAAGAATCAAATTAAAGAAGGAGCAGAGCAAGCCGAATATGAACAATTTGTAAGTGAATAGCTCCATAAATGAAATCTTATCCCTATTGTCTTGGTCAATAGATTGCATACTGATTGAGCTATCAGTTTGATGAAAATCCTTAGTTTCGTCATCATCTTCTGAGTGACCTTCAATGTTTTCTGTCATAAATAACCAAGTTACTCCAGATAGGACTAGCATGAGACCTGCATGTACATAGCAAGGAAGGTGGAATCCACCTGAATTATAAAGAAATTCGTTGAGAAGAGGCCCGATTGCTATACCTGTCCCCCATGAGAATTCAATAATTCCTACGACCTTTGCAATATTCTCTCGAAAGCAAGTAGCGATTATTCAATAAGTAGTAACTTGAACGAAGGCTTGGGAAACTCCGTTCAAAAACCTAACAAAACAGAAACTAATGACAAATGTAGTCTCAGTTTTCATCTTAGTTCAAAGAGATGCTAGGATGAAATCAAAGGAAAGAAGGATGAGGCCAAGTATAACTGCATTCTTCCTTCCTGTGTACCGGAGAATGTGTGACATCAACACTGCTCAGGCTGAGTATCCTACATACCAGAAGCTCATGATCATTCCGATTGTTGATTCCCCCAGTCCAACTTCATCATGCGCAATCTTGGGCAGATAGGGTGGGAAGAAAGAGTACGCGAGGTATGTGCTTCAGTAGTTCAAGCTTATTAAAGCTAAAAGCTTTATATCCATATTTAATTATTCAATTCAAATTTTTAAAGACGGGGTTTTGGGGTTTTGGGGTTTTGGGGTTTTGGGGTTTTGGGG